TCTATCCCCTCTTTTGATGATACTCCTCCTTTTTCTTAGTAGTGTTTTTAAGAATGATGGGATTTCACCAGGTTATGGTGTGGCAGCTCTGATGGTAGCTTCTCAGGGTAGAACTTGCTTTTCCTGTGCTATTCCCTGGGTCCCTTTTTTTGAAGTTTTTGCTTGAGAGCAATGGAGGAAATTTGAGCAAACATAATGCATTTGGATAAGACTAGGATAATGGGGAGTAGGTGGACTGCATATCTCCAGGGAAGAGCAATATGTCTTTTCCCCTAATTGCCATTATTGAGATATGGCTTAATTTTCACAGTGCCAACTCTTGTTTGCACAACGGCAGCGAAACCAGTTCTTACAATCAGTCTGTAGAAATACAATGCATTTATTCAAACAGTAAAGCAGAATCCTCCATAGGAAAGCAACTAGATAGATGCTTCCACATTCCACTTTTGCTCATTAAATTTCTGTTAACTATTCAATACACTCTCCTGGAATTATAACTACTCTATAATGAATATGGATTATTCAGCAATTATTTGCTTCTCTGCTTGTATGAATGTCACTCATAACTCAGGATACATGACAAAAATCAAAATGCTCCATTCTTATTAATGCGGAAAGTTTTCACTCCACTTCGAGTAATTGGGCATGGAATTTGTTTTGGTTCTTTCTGCTTTTCTCTTGGTGATTTAATTCCTTTTGTGATTCCATTCAGTTACTTTCTTCTTTTGTTCCATTCTTTTCCTCCCAACACAGCAGTTGCACAAAAAATGAATGAGCAGATTAGCAGCCAGGAGATGAGACTGACTTTGCTACAGAAGAAGGTTGACAACATTTCCCTCGTCATGAGTGATGTGAGCAAGACACTCTCCTCTCTGGAAGGCAAAATCAATGAAGATAAGGGCAGAGACTTCCAGGCTTTTCTAAAAGGTAAGAGAAAGAAATTAATGCAATCACTCACCCAGTTAAAAGTGCCAGGGAGAGAGCTAAGGAAGGAAAACCAGAGAAAACCTTGAAAATGGACTTTAATCTATCCTGTTCCATATTTCACCTTCTGCAATGGGAAGTGCATTTAGCTCTGTTTTGTTATTTAAAACACAGAAGAAGACAATAGCTGTTGTTTTTTTTAATTTCCCAAGGTGTTGAAGGCACTTTATTCAGAAGCCCATATTCTCATGCTGCGCATAGTCATCCCATTTCTGATAAACAGATCATCTCATGGTGTTCTGGATTAGGTTTATATTTTCCATGCCAACAGCATCTCTTCCTGGCAAGAGAAGTGACTTGACTAGAAGGTTTTCCATACAATTTGCAAGATGATGCAGTAAGTGCACGGAGTGTAAGGACATGGTTGCATATGGTACATGTAAGATGCATGCTACTTAGGCAACCAGCCTAAGCAGCGTGCATCTGTTCAATAGCAACAGTTCAAAGGGATAGTCACATTCATTTAGTGCAGCAAAATAACAGAACGTCATGTGGTGCCTTGCACACTGTTGGCCTATCTTCAAAGCTCTGAAAACATACTGTAAGCATCTAAGTGAATTATAATCCATGAAAGCTCAATGTTATACTAAATTTGTAAGTCTTAATAGAGAAGGCATTGCAGTAATCCAAATTCAGTATTACCAGGATGTTTCATAACTAGTAAAAGTAACCTTTTGGGAAAGGGGGCCTCTGATATGTAGAATTTGTTTCTGAGTCTTTAACTTGTCTTCATATTAAAGCCCAACTCCATTGCCATTTGGGAAGAAACAGAGCTGCTATAAAAGGCGTACTTTCAAGGTTGTAAAAGCCTTTGGAAGGCATCTTCATATACAGTATTCTGTTCCTGATATCTTTTAAGGTTCTGAACTTCTGATGTTTGTCCCAGAAGGAAGTGGCAAAAAATGCCTTCATACTTTTTGTTTCAGTAGAGTGACCCTATTGGCAGTTATTATTTTGTTGGCATTGCCTTTCTTGTGGCATTCATGTATGGACAACCTTCCCTCTATTTTTCTATCATCCTCTCCTTTGATGTCTTCTAGATGTAACTTCAAAAGTTGTTTCTTACATGATCTAATAGTACTGCTTGTCTGATTTTTTTAAAAAAATAGTTAA